GGAGGCCGAGATCTATGGCCCCAGAGATCACCTCCGTTACAGTCCCAATACTGTTTCCATGCTGAGCTGAAGGATAGTGACAAAACGTGTCCCTCCAAGTAAAACCAAGACATAAAACTATTTGTATGGGAAACAGGATAAATATAACCAATTAGGTAACAAGTGCACTCAAATATAGAAAAAATAAAGATAATATTTGATGAAATGTACTCGAAAAATAAGGGAGACCGACCCTGAGTAACAATCCAGAGGGAACAAGGAAACGTGATGACAGAAGATAAGGTCAACATGTTTTAAAAGGGATTCACAAATCGAAAAGTATATCATTATCACATGCTATAAGACTTGTTTTTATTTTTAAGACTTAGAGAGTGCCGACTGCAGAGAATAGAGAAGAATAACGTTTAAAGAAAGATTCCTGGATGACCCATATTCTGTAAAACTGTTCACACTGATGGGTGTCTTCATACTGCAGTACCGCTTTATAACACTAGATGGAGACAAAAGCTGCTGTCCCTGTGACATCTGACTTTCCTTCAACAGGTGCGTGTCTGACATTTTCATCATTACATCGTGTGTGTTCGTACATTCTTGGTCCTGCTTGCTCAGATCTTCAGGTGTATCCTCAGTGCTTCCTCTCTGTGTTAAAGTAGTCACATTATTCAGTGTCACTGCATCATGGGGAGCCTGTGAGCCCTGCTGAGACCAGACATGTCTGGAATACATCTCTCTGGGTACAAGGTGAAGACCGCCTGCTCAGAACGGAGAAGTCAACCATGTCTGACATTTTGTTTTTTAAAGAAGCACGCATGGCTAATTTGCTGGCAAAATCTGCTAGAAATAGGTTTTAAAGTAATAACGTAAATGTGCTACTGCGTCATTTTCTACAAGCAGCGTGACTAAATAGCATCTTCAAAAGTGTCTGTAATAGCATCATATATGTTTCTCTACTGACCTATTTCGAAAATATCTCTTTTATTACTAAAAGCAACTGGACTCATTTATTTAAATACCCAGCTCTTCTTGTTTTTACCTTCTTTTTCTCAGTGTATCCCTGCCTGTGACGTGTTATTCATGTCATTAGCTCTATTTGACGCACTTAGTGATGCATGCCAGTCCTTTGAAAGACCCCAAATAGCCCTCCTGTCGACTTTAAATGACCATTATTAAGGTTTTACATAAACAGGTGGGGGGTGTGGGAGGTGATTGCAGCTTCTATTTATTCTCAATATGATTAATTCCCTTTTTTATCTCTGCAATAGGGTCCCTGAACACACCGCCTCGTGACGCTGTGGGGGGCGAGTTTTGTTTGCATTCTTGATCTGTATCCGTGTGTCTTGTCTGAGCCTTTTAAATATATAAAATGTTATTTATAAAAGATATAAAATAGCCCACTAGTATTTAAATAACTTAAAGTTAGCACCAACAACAACAACAACAACAACAACAACAACAACAACAACAACAACGTAGTATGTGAAGAATTATATTTGATATATATCTTTTACTTTACTTTAACTTCCTGTTATACAAAACAATTTTTGTAATCTTTTTATTGCACATTTCTGCTTGAAATTCTTATTTTCATACAGATATTTTTCTATTCATTTATCTTCTATTTTTGTCTAAAATGAAGCGTCTGTCTCGAAAACAATGTTGTTTTTAATTTAATATTTAATTTAATATTTTTTCTTCATTTCAATGTATCTTAAATTGGGCGTTATACTTTATGTTTATATAAATATTATTATGTTATATTTTTATTGCGTATGCCTACTTGAACTTTATAAACTGTTTTATTCTATTTTTTATTAATTTATCTTTTATTTTATAATATTCAGAAGGGGAGTACAAAACCACATTTCCCCGGGGGGTTAAAAAAGCTATTCTGGATCTGAGACTGAGATCTGTCAGTTTGATGGGTGTCAGACTTTAGAAAATGGTGACGTCCTGAATGGCTTTTGACAGTCTGATCCCAGAGCAGGGGGCCCTTTACGATCTGTGGCCCTCAGAGTCTGTGGGGCTGGAGGAACTCTGAACACTGGGAGGTTGTAAAAAAGTTGATTCAGTTTCCTGCGATTACACACAGGTTGTTTGATCTGCGTACTGACTCCACAGAGAGGATCAGGGGATGCTCTCTTCCTCATCATCAGAGCCGGGTATCACAGGAGCCTTTTGAATTCTAATGATGCCTAATTGAATACAAGTAATGAAGCTGCACTTCCTGACTTCAAAGGCTTCAAATGAGCAAATCATAAAGCGGCTCCATGTGTGTGTGAGTTCAAAGCATCCGAATGCACACAGGATTGTTTCTCAGTGTGGACATGTGATCTGCTTTCATAACCCCACCATGCTTAGAAAAATGTTGCACATCATTATTAACGTCTTCTCCTCATCATTACTATTATTTAGACTTTACAACATGGTTACAAACATTACAGATGATTGAAATGCATAAGAGGAGAACTCTAACAAATAACAATGTTCTTAAAACTTGAACAGCTGTTGGAACCCTTGACAAGCAGTGAGAGGAACAAACCTTTAGGTTAGACACATTTTCCTGGAGGATAAATGGCAAAAATAAAAGTCCAAATACTTTTCAGACAGAGGGTGAAAAGAGGTGCTGCAGCACAGGCAGTATGAGAAAAGACCTTTTTGAACATCAAAGCATGGAGACCTGTCACAGTAGAGGCACAAAATACAAATATGAACCTTTAACAGAACATGATATTGCTGCGAATGCCTACATCACATGTGTCAAACTCAAGGCCCGGGGGCCAAATCAGGCCCTTGGTGGATTTAATTTTGGCCCGCAGGATAATTTCTAATTACTATTAGATCTGGCCCGCCGGTATATTGCACGCACACCTTCACTCAGTGCTGAGGGTTTCCTCAGCTCAGAGCCTGACCCCAAACATTGATGAACTAGCACCCGAGATGCGATGCCAAGTATCTGGCTTGAGCTAGCTTCACAGTGCAGCACACTGAGTTTAAATGTTTCCTTCTGCACTTTTTCTCTCACGACAACAGGGCATGTTTGTTTTTCTCTTTGAGGGAAATCGTTTTTTGAAGCTGTTGTTGGCCTGTGGGAAAATGTAATCATAAGAAATGACTCTGGAAAAGCTGCAGATAGAGCCATAAGAAATGAATGCAACTGATTCTTTAATGTTTAATGTTGTTTTTATAGGCAATAATTTAAGCTTTGTTAGTTCCAGGTTTAATATGTGCAATAAGTTGATTTCAATAAGTTTTGCAATAAACATTGAACCAGTCCGGCCCTCGACTAGTACCCATTTTTAAATGTTGGCCCACTGTGTATTTGAGTTTGACCCCCCTGGTCTACATGCTCCTCTCATTGGCTTTATTAGCGTATCAATTATAGACTTAAGTCTGCCCCCCCGTCCTCCTGCAGGTCTCTCCATCCCATGTCCTCTGGTACATTTTTGACATGCCGGCCCCTCGCAGGTGTCTGCCTCCTGAGAGCTGCAGGAATGCTGGCAGTGTGCCCCCCCCGCACCGCTCTGAATGGAGCTTTTATCTCTACTGTCAGAGAGCGACTGTGTGGAGGCTCTGAGGGGCAGCTGCATGGCAGAGGTCACAGGGTTCAGGTGTTTTAAGAAATACTGAGATATCTGGACTGTAGGGGATGAGGAGAAGGCTGGTTATATATTTACCTGTCTGGATAAAGAAAAGCTTTTATATCTGCACCTTTTCAGACTTCTGAAGTTGGATCTTCAGCTATAGGTCTGTGTTCTTGCGCTGTACATATCGATCAATGAAATCTTGTTTTTTACTGTAGATATTGGAAAATTAAATAAATAGAATTCGTTGATTACTAGAATTACTGTTACCCTAGCCGACTGTCCTCCTTTAATCATGTTGCGTTTTGTCTGTTGTTTAATATTCAAAGCATGCATCTTAATTCACTGATTGGTATTATTCGCCACCATCTTGACTGTAAGGGAGCTCGGAGGGACAATTGAATGACATTTAAAATTGTACTTGTATATATTATATGTTTTATAGATCAAAACACAATGGAACAATGGGTTACTTAAAAGTGATGCACACAGCTAGGACCAGAGCGCCTTTGATGTTGATGTTGGGATATAAAAAAATATATAAAGTTGGCTAACTGTCGGCTAAGTTTAGTTTATGCTGCGCTTTTAGTATACGCTGCGCATGTCTTGTCAAGTTGGTGAAGATGTTTCTTCATTTGTTTTTGTGTTTTTTATTTGCTTTGTTTTTGAAACTGCAGCGGGTTTCCTCTAACAGAAATGTTTTGGGCTGTTGTAGCGTGTTGGCACCTGTCAGCCACCGTACATAATACATCCATAGATTTCACTCTTCTTTGTTTCGAAGGGGGATGGAAACACACTTGTATTGTTTTCACTGACCCAATTGAAGATTCATGACAAATAACAGCAACTCAATTACTTCAGAATTATATTTAGTTAGTCAGTTCCACTAAAACTACCCTTTTGTTTCTCTCTTCCCACACGTGTATTACATATTTGTATAAACCACACATTGAGAAGTGTTAAGACTTTGCAGACACCCTCATGTTGTCATACTTTTTCAATCACACTGAGGATTTAGTGTTCAGCCAGAGGTGAACAATGAATCCATGTAAGCTAAAGGTGCTTTTCATTGAGCTGCCAGTCAGGCTGATCTGCAGAGTAATGTGAGATCAAGTTGGAGGGATTTCTAATGGATGGAACGGATTAGGAGCCTCCATGCACTGCGCTGCGCTGATGTTAACTCCCATGTCATATTACAGAGGGATCAGCCTGAGGCGGCCCGCTGGTGGTCTCTACTGTTTTAACGCTCAACAAGCCCCAACCAGAGCCACATGTTAGCCATCATGCTGCGAGCTACATCAAACAGATCTGAGCCCTCTGTTCTTCTGATAGATCCAGCCAGGATTTAGATATGTTCAGCATGCAAAGACCTGCAATACAATTCAGTCATTGATGTTGACCAAAGAAACAACCGAGAACTGCAGCTTCTAAAACCTAGTTATTGTAAATGGATAAATAACATTTAATACTTCTTAAGTTCAACAGAGGATTTAGACATTCATTCATTTGTGGCTCATAGTCAATGTTTTTTTCTCTGACGATTTTATCAATTCGACAAACGTTTAATCTTGAAGCACAGACCCATGAGAATGAATGCAAACGATTAGTGGACATTATGTGCAGAAATGTAAATGTATTTTAAGTCACTGGATTACCGATAAAGTACATCTTATAATTAACTTCTGCAAATGATTTTCTTTTAGTTTATTTATTCACCCTTAAAGTATTTGGAGAAGGATACCAATGTGGATTTCAGGACTCTTTAAAAAGGAGTAATTCTGTTTTAGTCTCCAGTGGGAAATAATGATACTGACGGTCCTGCAGTTTAGTAAACCTGCAAAATGTGCTAATTCTTACCAAAAAAAATTCACAGTGAGCTACATTGACCTCCATTGTGTTCCAAAAAAGGTGTTTAGTAATCCCTAAAGGCATATAATACATGAAAATCTGGACATATAAAACCCAAAAATAACACTGGAGATAAATGAAAACATATGTTTGTTTGCTTTTATTATTTGGTTGAAATGAGCCTCAACCATTGGCTGTGTAGAATTGTCCTGCTTAGGAAAGAAAATAGCATTCAATTGTCTTTTCCAGAAACACAATAGAAGTGCTTGCATGAATGGAGTGCCATATAGACATCAGTTTTCTGTAGTTCTTGTATTGACTGGTACCTGCCTCTCTGTAATAGTGGTTTGCCTTCTCTCTCTCAGGCACTTTAACACATTTTCATTGAGGGTCCTTCATGACCCGGGGCCTGTTCCAGCTATCAGGTTCACCAAGTTATCTGGTGAATGAAACCCAGCGCAACCTCAAATCTGGAACATACATTTATCTGACCTGGATGTTTTTCTCAGCAAAGTTAACCAGATTAAGTAAACCCAGATTACGTGAGTTTACGGCTGCTTTTGGTCACAAATCGCAGGTTGTTCTAAAGGTCTGTCAAAAAAGCAGAAAAGGCTCTAATGGACAAATGACCACTGTTGTATTGGAACATCATATTTTGGAGTGCTGGCTGTGAAGTAGTACAGCACAGTTTTGAAGTAATTTGTTTGTCTTTGATTAAAAGTCAACAACTTCAAACATTTCCTAAGGTTAGATCCAGTCTGCTTTGATTGGTTAGCTTGCCGGCTTTCACATACAATGTATTGGAGAATTGACATGCACAGAAACCTATATAACATACTACAGGAAAGGAAATCGCAAAATCATGAATCAGTTGAGTTTAACAGCAAGCAGACTCACTGAGCATGATGTCTTCTACTCACAATAACACTTATAGACATCAGTTTGATTAACATCTCACCCAACACAATTGGAAACACAAAGCCAAGCCACTGATCCAGCCTTGACTGACAGCTGTCCATGTATTTGCCCCGTCACACTGATTTCCTCCTCTTTCCGAAGACGTTGTTGATGAGTTTGGCCATGGAGCCGCTGGGGCGTCTCCTGCGCTCCTTAGCCTTGCTGCCCACATTAGCATTTTGCACCATCTTGAAGAATATGAGCGCCACTTCCTGGTGGTGCTCAGCGGCTGACAGCTCGTAGAACTGGCAGCGACACTCGGCAGCGAGACACTGAGCTTCCTCACGCCGCACCTCTCTCATGTGGCACAGGTCCTGCTTGTTGCCCACCAGAAATATGAGCGAGTCCACGTTCCTGTGGGTCAGAAAGCACAACAATAATTGACTTTCACCGGGGTGGTTTTGCATGGTGGCCATTATTATCGTGCGATGATCTTAGCCATACCTTTTGCCAGTTCCCAGGCCTAGCTCTCTGATGAGGTGTACTATGGCTTTGGCGGTGAGGAAGGAGGAGCGGTCGCTGATATCGTAGACCACGATGAAACCATGAGCCCATTGGATCTGCTCGTTTACAGTAGACCTTCCCTCATATGCCTGAAAAACAGATTGTTTGAAGACATCACATAAAAGATATACATTTTGTAGTTAAAAATGATACGTGCAAGTGTAAGGCTGCAGCCTGTCACCCTCTTATTGATTTATTACAGTTATATTTTGGGTTGCTATGGTTTAAGCTGTTTGAGTTATATTTAATGTTTGCTAATTTTGCACGTAATTATAATATAGATTTAGCCTTGTTACTTTGGTATGGGTTGCTTTGTTTTGCATATTCCCTACTGCGTTTATCTCCATTGTGTTGTGTGCAGTCCATGTTTGTGATTCTGATTTTGCAAATGAACAGTAGCGATCAATTGGTTTACAAGATGATAAGTGCAACTGGTTGATATGCCGACTAGCACCCTGCCCCTGTGCCACCTATTTTTTGGTGAACAAAATACAATACATTTTGTTATATTTGCTCCATCTGTAACCTCACCTGAGAGCAGGGGTCATAGAGCTGGAGATTGATCGGTTTCCCATCCACTGATAGACGCTTTCTGTATATGCACTCTGTGGAAGACAGCAGCAGGACGAAACAAGACGAAAATCATCAAAAAGACAATAATTATGAGTTCAAATTGTATCTGAAAACAGTGGATTCTAAAACTGTATTTGTCACCAATACTGTGACACATTTCTCTCTCTGTGTGTGCACGTGTTCCTTTCACACCTCAGGCAGTGTCCTTGCTTCACTCATTGAGAGTGCAGAAGTAAACAAGCTCATATGAAACTCGATTATTCTCAGGGAAACAATAGTCTATTGAGCCACTATCAGAGACTAATGTGAGTCATTCTCCCTGCAGAATTGTATCAAACAGAATGGCTGTTCAGACCACATTCTGACTAACAATCTTAAGAATCTCTCAAATATTCAGCCATGCTCTTAAATGTGACAGAATATGTGCCATCTGTAGGTAAAGGCTTGTCGGCATGGCTTCACCATACATTACAATAGACGATACAAGTATATGAGATAAGAGGACTTGGATAGAAAGATAAACAGTTTATAGAAACTAGAAACCAGCAGACTGATAACAGACATTCCAAATGAATAGGGCTTCTGATAGGGATATAAACAGCCATACTGAATGTTGGCATATGACAATAGAAGAAAGTTACAGAATACATTTAGTGAAATAAACAGGATTAAAACCTTGAAATATCTGATCAATGAATTGGAGACAATATTATGAATCTTAACATTTGATGCCAATGTTTGGTAAAGGTTTAGTTATAGTAGGGCTGATCCAATTGTGCACTTTGACTATAGTTTGAGAATATAATCAAAGTTTTGCTTCAGACATGGAGGCAATTTGTATCTGACCTATAGTGACATTGACAGGCCACTGATGTCCAGTTTTTGCCCAATCCCTTTCCGTAATATTCATTTTTATTTTTGTCAAAAATGTTGTTTGAGGTGTGGTAATTGAAACAGCAATATGACGTAGAATGTAAGTTAAATGACTGGTTGATTGGGCTGCAACGAACCAATTGTTTTGCATGAAGAATTAGCCTACAAAATACTATTTGTCTGACTACGTTGTAGCTCTGCAAAATTGTTAAAAAGAGGCTGAACACACAGAAATCTGCTTCCATTTAACTACATTAGTCTGTGCACAGCCAAACTTTGTTGAAACCCATGCACAGAACTGCATTTGACATACTGGAGATCGCAAAAATTAAACATCTTTTAGTGTCAAATACTTAGCGTTAGTGTATCATGTATAAAAAAGTATCCTACTGTATGTCTCATTCATAGGCTATGCCATACATGTGTCAGATATATAATTATTGGTGGTTTTATAGGTGTAATGAGTAGAAAGTGTACAGAGATTTGAATCATGTTTAATAGAGTAACGATTTAACAGTGAAAGTCAGTTTCTCATTAGTGTTCGCACCACAGTCTCATTACCTGAAGATGAGGCGTACTCCCCAATAAATCGTCTGGTGAGGAACCGGACGATGAGAGCTGAAGACAGACATACAGACAGGTTAGTCAGAAGCGAGCCCTTGTTTACCTCCGAGGTGCAGTGACCTGCTGCCCGGCTCTCCTACCTGATTTCCCGACCCCTTCACTGCCCAGCACAGCAACCTTGATCTCATTCATGTCGGCGGTAGAAACAAGACTTCTCCCGTACAGAAGCAGCCTATCGCTCAGATGGCATGCTTTGGAGAGCTGAGGAGGCGAAGCTGTGTGTCAGAGCCGGGGTCCGCAGAGCTGATGGGCTGCCTGGAGCCCCGGTGCTGCCCCGCATCATCCGCTACAGGCTGGCCGGGGGGCGGCCCTCCCACAGCGGCGTGACACCGGAGGAGAGCGGGGGGCGTGTCCTCCATCCAGAATATTTTTTTCAGTCATAGCCTCATTTCATTTTTTAATTTACAGCATATTTCTCTTTTTTTCAATTTACCTCGTGGTAGTCAAGCCCCCAAAAGATCCAGGGATTATTTTTAACAAATGACCCTAAAACCCATTTCACTGCTTTTATCCAAAGAGACCTAAAATAAGTTTTAAGAACTATGAAGATACCAAAAAGGAACAGCAGAAATCCACATTCCCCGTATTAAAGCTATGCCATTGTAAGTGCTTGTGCATTAGTTTGAATTGAGATGAATCTTTTGTGTTCCTATATGTGTGTGTGTCAGTTTTAACGTGACAAATTGGGTTTTTATTCTGCCACGAAGATGACTCATGAGCAATAGTGTTTGAAAATGACATGTACATTGTACTGTCAAACTATACTCAAACTATACTACCCCTTTTATAAAAAAATGTTGATAAGGGTCCCCCCTTATATAAAATGTCACTTTTTTGATAAGGGTATCCCCTATAAAATGTAAATTTGTATAGAAGTTTAGTTTGGTGGGTCAACTTTTTTCTTGGCAGCATGTCTCTCTTTAAACAAAGCCAAGTTACACATGACTGACATTCAAATGTGTGCTCATCACTGGTTAACATAGACCCATATTCTCTATATTCTATTCAAAGTCATTTAATACATTTCAATTAGCAAACAATCTTGTTCGTTCCCCTGCAAAAACAAATCTCCTCGATCTTTCCTGAAGTGTTACATTTACAACATTTCAAGTTGATCATTTTCCTGCATGTCCAGGTGTGATTTAGTGACTCTGGATTCAATATAAACCAGCTTAATGGTTAATAATTGCTTATTTCTGAGGCCCCTCTGGTAGCCCTATTTTAGAAAGCTGTAAATCCTGATCTTATATAATATGCTGATAAAGGCAACATGTTTGAACTGTAGCATTTGGTTCCCTTTAGAAACAACCACAGCAGGGAATAGAGAATACCATTCATAGTGCATGCTATGAAAATAATACCATTTCCATTTGCAGTGTGAGGCCAGGCTTTACAGATCACTTCACTTCTTCAACACGTGAATGGAGAATGTTTCCGAATATATTGTATATCTGCAATTTTACACAATTAAAAACAAAACAACAATACACAATCACTCTCTATTTGGAGGTTTGAAAATGCAAGTGAATCAGCGGTATAAAACGAAGGAAGACGTCAGCCAGCAGCTCCCACACAAACACATTTCGCAGGTTATTGCTAATAAAAGCAAGTGTGATGATGTGGGCTGATACGGAGGACGAATGATGACATTATCACTGCCATGTGTACTGACTATTACACACCTTATCACGGAATGTAAAGCATCAGTTTCGTGACATAAATAAGTCGAGTTTACATCTGGCTAAAAGAGATATGACACAGTCTGTCAAAATAATGTGTTCTGGTCAATGTAAAATATATGCTCGCTGCTCCTAAGGGCCATGTAAGGGGCCAAACCCTCTGCACTTGGTCAGTTTTTCCATTAATAACTTTAACATAACATTTATGGCAGGTATTTGCTATGGCATTTTTAGTTTAAAGGGAGCACATAAGTAATGAGATATGAGGTTATTTCTATCTATCGTCCTTCCTGTTTCCCTTGACACTATCAGATTATGAAGATCATTGTTTATCGTGGAGGCGGATGATGTCATATTGAAGGGTTGGCCTGTAGCATTTAGCATGATTGGTTTCCATGTGCATGATTTGTAGATTGCTACAGTGCAGCCACAGAAACATTGAAATACACAGACGTTTAAGTTGAATCCACTTTCTTCGTGTATACAAAGTCTCATGTGCAGTTTTAGGGCTGGACAGCATCACCAAAGTCTTGTTTGTTCACCCCTTACACTGTTTGTTATCGATGTGATAACCGTGCTCTAGCTTAGTGTTTAAGGTAACATGAAGACTGTGGCAGTGCTCCATTCCTCTTCATTAGCTGACTGTAGGGAGGACAGACGGAGGCCGAGGGCTGCAGATGTGGGTCAACCCTGATGGATGGCAGCTGACTTCTAATGCTATTAAAGGAAAGGTCTGGAAATCCTGTAGATATCTTAAAAACAGTAGTCACAGAGTGAGAGTAAATAATGATGAAAAGCGGCTGATTATGCAACAGGAGAAAGCACATCATTACGGTGACATTAGCCCTCTGTGTGAGGAATCAAAAGGTCGAGAGGGGAATGAAGACAGATTTGCTCTGTTAACTAAACATAAAGCAAATACCTCCGAAGTATCTTAATCCCTCACTTCCTCACTTTTATAATGTTAGTTTACTCTTTACCAAAAAAAACTTTTTATCACACCGCTAGCTGTATCTTTCCATTCAGATATTTTTGGTTTCATGTGTCAAGGTTTTCCTATAGAAAATAGAAGAAAGTCTGTTGTGCTTAAAACATTGAAAATTAGATTTTAAATAGAAACATTTCTTTCAGAGAACAGTATCCATGCTGATGCGAATGATCCACCTTGGGGTCAGCTTTCACTCTAACGGTTTGTTACAAACTATATTTAGATTGATAACTGTGAGTTGTTTATTTCTGACCCCCACGCACATCACAGACAAAAGTACTTTATGCTCTACAATAAAATCTCTTATTTTATTCGGCTAAAACAGAAACATTTAACCAATTGATCTCTTGTCAAATGGACCCTCCTTCATAGTCTATTTAATAATAGGCGTTTTTGTTGAATTCTGGCTTATTTAAAGGGGGAAGCATTATGGAAAACTCACTTTTTCACTGCTTCTTCAAATACAGTTGGTCATCGGGAGGTGGAGTAACATTCGGAAAGACAGTATGAGAGTTTTCAAACTGGATCTAATCATATGTTTTTAGTACATTATGTACAAATGTACTGTATATGTTTTATGTAAGGGTAAAACAGGATTAGGGTGTCCTTGCAATATCTCAAAACGTTTTCTATTTGAAGAAAAGTTGTCAATTTTGATCCGATCAGAGCAAAGACACCCACATACAAATACACACAGATTTATTTCGAAATGTTTTGATCCCATGTGGACACCAGGGTATAGTGGTAGTGTGGCAATTCATTATCCAGCATTTCCAGTCCAATGACTTGTGCTGAAGGATCCTGTCAGTCAGTCCAGTAAAGAAGCTTTATCTTATCTGTGGCAGGTCTAATCTCTGCCTTACACACACCTGGACTCACTGAAGGCAGCCCGGCCCCCATGGAGGGGCCCCACTGATCCAACCACACTCTCTCTGAAGGCTGGGGGGGGGGGGGGGGTTAATTCAGGCGTGGCACATTAAACTGTCAGGGATGAGAAATGAGGGACTGCTGCTTCATTGGTTTTGTGAAGCTGACAGAATATTTCAAAGAGGATACTTAAGGTTTGTTCCAGATGATAAAAAGATGGGGCTTATTTACATAGTTTTGTCTAAAAGGTCAAGACACCTGAGAAGTAAGATGATGAGACAAGTTGGAACCAAATCATTACTTCAGGTTGTAAAATCCACTTTATTTAGTAGTTAAAATGAGTGATTGTGCCCAAATGGTTGCTTATTCTAAGTCTTTGAGAATCTCATTTCAAATAAGTACAATAATAAGACATAATGGGACACCCCAACAAAAATATCCGAAGGTTAAGAATAAGGTAAGACAAAAAATACCTGTTACTAACACATCTAGAATTGGAGATAGTGATTATAAAATGGAAAAACACTTACAGAATACCTTAAATCTTAAACTGATCTACCCTAACTAAATGGTCCCACAACATTTGTTTAATAGATCTGAGCATTTACAAATCAATAAAAGGTAAGATATGTTAAATATACAACAAAGAAAGAATAATGGTTCAAATTAATTGCATTTCAGTGTATGACAATTTAAGTTAAGTATATTTTAACTCCGGCATATTTTACAAACAACACTGCCATAAGCTCTTTTTGAAGAACTGACATTTTTATAGTTTTATTACCAATCTTATTTCATACCTGTGGGCCCTTGCAAACCACTCTAAAGATTGTAATTGTAACTTTACTTTACATGTTAAGATGTTTTTCCACGTCTTAAATGGATTCAAGGGGAAATAACGTGGGATAAGTTCGAGCAGTCGAGTGTAAGTGTGTCACAGACTCTATTGTTAATGGCTCCAATGAACATGCTAATTTGTGGATAGTTTTGAATAATTGAAACATGATTTCTGGAACTCATGTTGACCTTTTCAAATGTATTTGAGGAGGTTTGAGCACCACAGGCCAGGCACCATATATCTCCATCATATTTGAGTCAGACATCTATACAGCGGATATTCTTAACCTCTGCAACTAACACAAATATAATAAATCAAAAACAATCTAAATTGATAAATGCCGGTTAGAGGAACATGTTTGTTTTGTTTGTTTTGGGGTGAACTGCCTTTTCAGTCACAGACCGTTCCTACATAGCACCAGACAAGACATTTAAGATGTCTTTACTCCTTTGACTCTGCATTAAGAATTCACCTTGTTGATTTAAATGAAATAATGATAGATAAGTGCACACACACACACACACACACACACACACACACACACACACACACACACACACACACACACACACACACACACACACACACACACACACACACACACACACACACACACACACACACACACACACACACACACACACACACACACACACACACACACACACACACACACACACACACTCACACAGTGTTCTGATGCTGCAGTCTTGTGGTGCCGTCTGGTGGTGAATGTGTGGAAGTCAAAATGGTTATAATTTGCCATATAATAACAATACACTGTTGTATAGGCCCACACTTTAAGTTGAAATCTACACAACTAGGCAGATGTGAGAAGTACTCAGATCTTGTACTAAGAGTAAAAGTAGAAGTACTAGAGTGTAGGACTACTCGCTTACAAGTAAAAGTCATGCAATCCAAAAGTTACTC